TCTCCTCCTGCGCTGCCAGAGTGTCCCAGTCACGGGGTTCTGCAGGTAGGTAGGTGTGCGGCGGGTGGGCCATCAGGAGTCCCGCAGCCCCCAAACTCATGACCTCCCACGGCGCTCACTCCGGGCCGGCGGCCAAGCCCCACGGTAGCCCGGGCCGACGGCAGGCAGGCAAACGGCCTCTCCGCCGTCGTTCATACCCGACTACACAGCTCTCCGCGACGTGACTACCCCCACCCAGAGAGTCATCTCTACACTAACGGGGTCTTTCCTGTCCTTGGGGGGAGGCTAACGTCTGAATGCCGTGCTGACCACACAGGAAGGCTGTGGGTAAAGCTCCCGGGCGAGGACACCTGTCCAGCCCTCGGGAACCTCAGGGCGGTGGCAGCTGGTGTCTAGGCCTCAAGCCTGAACGTGCGGGGCCCCTCCCTGTTTCTCAAGAAACAGCTGCCCCCACACGGGAAGGAAGCTGGCGCCGTGCACGAGCCCGACGCGGGTGGGGGCGGCGGGCATTTGCTGAGGGTGGTCACGAGGGCCGCTCTGGGGCGGGCAGTCCACCCTGCAGGGCAGGCCCAGGGCACGCGAGCCCCCTGAGCGGCCCCCCAGACCCCGCTCCCCCTGCAGTGCCTAAGGAGCGAGGGGCCACGGCAGTTCCACTCTCACATCCAAGTCCTCTGGGGCCTTTCTGCCAGTCTGTCATCTGCACGGCAGCTCTTCCCACCCAGACCCGACGGTGCTCCGCGGGGACACGAGAGTGCCGGGCGGGACCTGCCTCGGTTTGGGAAAAAACTCTCAACCCCCGCGTAGAACTCTTTGCTGATTCCTGCAGCTCTGGCCCCAAACACCTCCCCCTCTAAAGGCTGTGCCCCCTTGTCCCCGGCTGCCCCCCAAATCCCTGAGCCCCGCCATCAGCACTCCTACCCACGCACCTCTGGTCCTGCCATGCCCCCTCCCCCTCCCCGCTGCGGTCAACACCAGCCCAGCCCTCACACCTCAGCAAGTCTTCCCACCCTCCCTGTGAAGGATCCGGTCCCGTCACACATGCTTGCACCTCGTTCCTCCCACGCTGCAAGGCGTCCATCGCTGTGACCCACATCTGTCTCCCCATGCGGCAGAGAGCCTCGCCAGGCAGGAACTGGCTCACGTCGGTCCGCCTGTAGGCCCAGGGCCTCAGCTCAGGCTGAGAGTGAGAAGGGCCGCAGGCCCCCCCGAAACATGCGGGTCCTTGACCCACACCCAGCCCACTGCCTGTCACTGCCTGTCAACGTGCCCACACGCCAGGAACGGTTTTTACGCTGTTAAGTGGTTGGAAAAAAATGGAAAGAACAGTGTTTTGCGCCATGTGAAAATCACGTGAAATTCCAGTTTCGGAAACACTGCTACGCTCACCGCGCGGCAGCTCCTGGACTGTGACAGCAGAGCAGTCGGAGGCGGTGCGATGGCGAGACCCGGAGTACCTCCCTCAGGGCGCTGACGTCCAACCCTCACCGCAGCTACACCAGGGTCTCGGCGTCCAGCCAGGGCACGACCCAGCACAGCCGGAAGATCAGGACCCTCTGTGCTCCGGGTGGGCCGCGCCCTCCCTGCAGAGCTGATGCCTGCTGGGCTCAGTGGGCGCTCGCGCGTGCCCCGAGGGGAAAGGGTCCCCGGATACACTGGAGGGTCTGGCTCACCGTCCCAGAGGGTCAAAGCCCGTGCTTACCGGGCGGCCCCCGTCTGCGCCCTCCAGACTGTGCAGAAACTGCTTGGAAGCTGGGGATCGAACTCCAGGAAGTAGGGTGCAGGCCTCGGCAAAAGGCGCTCCGGGCCAGGCAGCAGGACCGGGCAAGCCGCTGGGAGTGCGCATGAAGGACACTTTCGGGATGGAACGCCCAACAGACCCACGAGGAGCGGAGTCAGAACGGGTGGGAGGACTTCTCAGAGGACCGAAGTGGGAGCCTTCGGGTGGAAGCGCTGGGCAGGACCCCGGCGCTGGCAGGCAGAGCTCCCCGCCCTCTTCTGTGGGGGACACGCGACGATTACCCAAGCTAAGAAATGTTTGTCATTAAGCTGGGAGCAGTTTCAACAGCAGAGAATGTGCACCCTTCCCACAGAACTGGGCCAAGACTGAGGGTGCGTGACTGGGTAGTTACGCGGCTCAGAAGCCGCCCCACGTCCATCTGAGCAACGAACGGCCCCAGGGAAGGGGTGGAGGGCGGGGAGTTCATCAGCTGGCTGTCCCGGGGCTGCAGAGGCCCAGCAGGGGAGGCGGGTTCCCGCTCACGCTCCCCCCCCAACCCCAGCAGTCACGCGCCAGCCTCACTCCAGAACCGTCCCCTGCTCCTCACACCCCTGGATCGCCCAGTGGGCCGCCTCCCCACCCCCGTTCAGGCGGCGCTGGCCTCGGCCTGACCACCCTGGTGGCTTCTGAGTGTTCTGATGCTTGTTTACTGCGTGGAAAGGACAGAAATCAAATGCAGTGAAGGGAAAAGCACCAAACCTTCTCTCATCCCAAACCACGGACGTTCCCACACCGGTACCAACCCCGCACCTAGGGCACTCGCTATGCCCGGAGTCCCAACCTTCAGAGGGGGTCTTGTTCTGGCTTCCAGACCTCAGGCACATCCCAGCCCCTCTCTGGCCTCCGTCCCCTCGTCTGCAAAACACGGTGCTGGACCAGATCCCCGAGCTCAGCAACAGAGAAGCTTAGCAAGAAATTCCAATATCAGCTTTCATTAAGACTCAAGTCGTAAAACATTTCGAAAAAGCCCAGCGAAACCACAGCTGTGCCAGAGGCGGCCGGGAGACGCTTCAAAACAAGAAACACATGATAACGCAAGAAGGAAACGGCTGGTTTTTCTTTTCTTTATAAGTCATCTGCCCAGGGATGTGGTATCTGTAAAATGATGTGCGACCAGCTGAAGCCTGAGCTGGGCCTAGTCCCTCGCTACGCTAAGACCCTGCTGCAAATCAGGGGCCCCCCTGGCCGAGGAGCCCTTGAGCCAAGCATTAACGCTTACAGGACCTGACAGGTGACAAGGAAGGTAAACGGCTGACCCGCACCTCTACCACCACGCAGGTCTTACTCCCGCGGCTCAAAAGGGACGCCCTACACCAAAATGCATCCTCTCAGAGTGTGCCCCTGCTCTGGACCCCGCTGTCTCCTCAGCTCCCTTCTTCCGAAAAGCTCTGCCGGCGCTCCCATTCCCAGTGTTTCTGCAAAGCAGACCCTCAGCCTCGGGCATCCCGTGTTACCGCGTGACACTCAACTTCCCGTGTTCGTCACTCAGGACTCCACACGAACACGGATTTCCTTTTTAAAAAATATTCTGAACCTACAAGTAGATGGACGGAATGCTAGAAAGCGCCCTGGGGCACCCACCACCCAGTCCTAGAAATAAACACTTCAAACACACCGGACACCCGCAGGACCCACTCCTGCTGCCCGTCTTCCTACGCGGCACGTCCATCCTAAATCCAGGGCTCATCACTCCACGCGACTCCCCACTCACCACACGGCACAGACCATGGCGGGACCCTCTCAACACTTCCGTCCTTGGTGCCGTCCACAGGCAATCCCCCTGTCCCGTCTCCTTGCCCCGTGTTATGCGTGTCTGGCGTGTGGACAGCGCCAGCTGTCATCCCTTCAGGCTCTCGGCTGTATAAACACTCCATTACTCGGCTGTGCCACGTACTGGGCCACAGATGCTCCTGGTCATTTCGCACAAGGGCCTACACTGTGCCAGACAGTCCCGCACTTCCAGACTGCTCACAACCCCCTAACAAGGAAGGCGAGCGTCCCCCTAGACCAGAGGGCGCTGGGACACACAGGGGTGGGAGCTGGCAGACCCAGGCGAGCTCAGGCCCACGGGGCTCTCCGCCACCGTCCCCGCCCGATCCTCCAGGCCCCGTGTGGGGTCATGCCTCCACAACTCACATTTCTGCCCATGAGACGACGGACAGACGGCTCCAAAGTCGGCTGAGAGAACCTGAAACAGGACGCTCCATTTTCTCTTTTAACAAACAATTCCACAGGAAATCCATCTGACACACAGGGCCTGCACGCACAGTGAGGACAAGCCTTTCTCTGGCAGGAGTCCCTGTGCGCTCCCTGGAGTCATTCCCAAGTTTACACCAACTGTTTCCAAGTCAGCCAGAGTCCTAGTGCACCCTGCAGAAGCAGGCTGTCTGCACCCACCCAGAGAGAGCACGGAGGGGCGGGAAAGGACCCGGGAATCACAGTGGGCCTGAGTGGCAGCGGCTGAGCTGGCCAGGCTGTAAGAGTGACCGTGCTCGGGGAGGTCCGAGAGACCGTGCAGGGCTCAGAGGACTGAGGGAAGTAGGCGCACCCACTGTGCTCTGCACTTGGCCTGGAGCGTGGCAGCCCAGCCCAGCCTAGCCCCCCCGCTGGGGAGAGAGCCCAGCCTGAGGACCCGGGTGGGGGCGCCCAGCAGCCAGGCAGGGAGTGAGGCCAGAAGAGAGGTGTGAGCTCCAGCGCCAGGGGGGCCCCAAGGCCAGGGGAGGCGCAGGGCACCAGGACCACGACTGGTGACTCTAGTCCCGGCCCCTCCGCCGGATGTCTCACGCGGGGTTTCTGTGCGACAGGGCGGAGGACGCCTCGAACGGGCCAGGCAGACCTGGCGGGAGCAGCCCCCTCCCACGTCCCCCAGCAAAGCAAGGAGCAGAACAGGCTCGGCCGCTTCCAGGCTGCGCGACCGTCACCGACGCCCCTGCCCCGCGGGGCGCGCACTGCAGGCGACCACCGGTGGGGGCCCTGAAGCTCACCCCGCCACCGGTCCAGGGTCAGCCCGCCCCTCCCCCGGCCCGAAGCGGCAGCGGAAGCACCAAGGGGCCGGGCGCTCGGCAGGGCCAGAAGCCCCCGGGCGCGAGGGGCCGCGCGGGGCGTCCGCGTCGCGCGTGGGGGAGCCCAGGTGAGGGGCGGGCGCGGGGGCCGGAGCGCGCCGGGGAGAAGCGGGGAGGGGGGCGCCGGGGCGAGGGGCGCCGGGCGCGGGCTCCGCTCCCACCTTGAGCACCGTGACGGCGCCCGCGCTGTGCACCTGGAAGTGCGCGGGCGGCTCGGCGCCGGGCTCCGCCGCCTCGTCGGGGCCCTGGTAGCTGAAGCAGGCGTCCGCGATGTCCAGGTGGCCGAGCGGCAGCGCGTCCTGCGGGCTCTTGAAGTAGTAGAGGTAGCAGCGGCGCGCGTCGAACACGAACCAGCGGCTGCGGTAGCCGCGCAGCGGGCCCTTGCCCGACAGCTTCTGCAGGTACCCGCACAGCCGCGCCGGCTCCCGCGCCCCCGCCGCGCCCTCCCGCTCCTCCTCGTCGGCCCGCGCCCCGGGCCCCGGCATCGCCGCCGCCGCCCCTGCCCTGCGCGCCCCCGCGCCGCCCGCGCCCCCGCGCCGCCCCCGCGCTCCCCACCCCGCCCCGCGCCGCCCCGCCCCGCCCCGCCGCTGCGCACGGCCCGCGGCCGCGCAAGGCAGCCTGGGACTTGTAGTCCCGCCGTCAAGGCGCGACCCTGGGGGCGCTCGGGCTCCGCGCACCTGCCGCCCGAGGCCCGCAGCACCTGTGCCGCGCGCCCTTCCGGGAGGGACGCGAGGGACGCGCAGCGGACGGCCCGGCAGCGGCCACGACCGCGCGAAAGTGGCCGTAGTCTGAAAGAGGAAGCACGAGAAAGGACGGGCCGAGCCCGCCGCGACCACGTGGGCCCAGGGCCGCGGCGCGGAGAGGAACGCGCGGGGGGACCCGGACCGCGCACGGTTTCACCGGTGCGGGGGATCGGGAAGGCAGACGCAGCAACACAGCGGAAGCCGGAGCTTCGGGGCGGGGAAGAGGCGCGCCCTGGCCGACGGCGGAAGGTCCGGGCCTGCAGGGGCGCGGCGCGGGGGTCCGCGGAGCAGGTGCAGCTCCGAGCGGGACCTGCTGGGCAGCCGCCCCGCCGACCCCTGCGTCCGGCCCCTGGACCTGATGGGACGCCGAGTGCGGACTGCGGCTCCGCGGAAGGACGGAGTGAAGGTTCTGGCTTCGCTTCAAGGGCCAGATCAAAGCAAACACCCCTCTTCCTTCTGTGTGTCCTCACCGGACGCGTGACAGGACACCAGGGAAGCTGGAAGGCCTCGTTTTCTGAGACGGACAGGACACCGAACGAGTCGCCCACTCAGACACGCGGGCCGAGTGAGCCCCCCCCCTCCGGCCCAGCCAGCCACACATGAGCGCGGGGTCCGCTGACCCTCGGACACCCCTTGCCTGGGGCCATCAGCAGTCTCGCAGGTGGCCACAGCACGGCTACCCCACCTTCATGTCCCGGGTGCTCTTTGAGCACCAAACACAGGGTGTGGAGGGTGGGCTCTGGAGTCGGGCAAATAGGATTCATCTGGGAGCTCTGCCACTCTCCAGAGCTGTGACCTTGGGTAGGTCATTTGACCTCCCTGAGTCTCAGCCTCTTCATCTGTAGAATGAGATCATACAGCTCATACTTTTGTTCCTGTGAGGTTTACAGGTGCAGTGCTCGTCTCTCCGACGTTCTGTACAGTTAACACAGATGTCCTCAGCAGGTAGCTTTGGTGGGGGGGGGCTGAATCCAGCAGTGGCCCAGCCCCCACACGGGGAGGACCGAGAGCACCCTGCAGGATTGGGGCGGGCTGCCCTCCAGAGAGAGGAAACCAAGCTGGATCTGCGCTGTGCCCTGTGGGTGAGAGGGGCAGTGACTGACTAGCTTGCAGGGTGAGGCAACCGGGGTGGGATGTGACCGGGAAATCCCATGGAAAGGGGACCGGCTGGGAGCACTGGATCTGTGTAGCTGCAGCTCTGTGCACAGGAGGCCAGGGAGGAGGGGGGACAGCCACAGTCCTCAGCTCTGTGAGCCAGGTGTGCAAAAGTGGGGGTGGCCGTGGCCTGTGGTCCCAGAGGACAGAACTGAGCCCGGATATACCTTGCAGAGACTGAGGTCTGCTAAGTGTCAGGAAGACACAGAGCTGAGCCCCCAGCCTGGGCAGATGGGACTGGACAAGGGACCACTACCGTTCCTCAGCAGCTGCTGTCTGTGCTTCTCAGCGGACAAGCTGGGCCCCCAGCCTGACCATCCTGCACCAGAGCCCTCTGTCTCTTCCAGCCACCCCTGGCAAGGGAGGAGGCTGCCTCTGCCCCCGGCTTCCTTGGGCCGGGCCACTTCCCAAATCGTATCCAACGCATTAAAATGTCCCACATTCTACGGTAAACATTGATCTAAAAATTTGAAGGCATTTGTATAATCATGATGCCAGTATTTTCTGACTGTGAGGAATTCATTTTAATTTATGTCTGGTTGACAGTTTCTTGGCAATCATCATGTCTGTGTGGGCACCCTGGCTGAGTGAGAGAAATCCAGCCCACGCATTGTTTTCAAAGGGAGTGACGTTTCTTTTTGAAGTTTATTTATTTCTGAGTGACCTGTACGCCCCACGTGGGGCTCCAATTCACGACCCCAAGGTCAGGAGTCGCACACTGCTGACCCCTAACAGGACTGACGTTTTTAGGATTACTGTGACATTGACATAACGGTACCTTTTGTAGACATTTGATTCAATGAGTATTAATATGGATTTTGCTTTTCTCTTGGAGCCCCAGTTTATCTGTTTTAGGCTACAGACATTTTGTCGGCCCCTTGAGAGCTGGCCGAGGGCACCAGGCCTACAGAATCTACAAAACAGACCATCCTGACCCGGCCGGGAATGTGGCCCCCGCCCTCCTGGGACCCCAGCAAGCCGGACAAAGTGGCCACAACCTCTCAGCAAAGTCCCTGTCCCTGCAGCCCAGCCAAGTAGAAGTGGCCGAGAATTCAGGGCCCACCTGACCCCTTCCTGACCCCCAGACCTCTCCCAGGCCACCAGCCCTGTCCATTCCCTCAACCAAGACGCTTTTTTCCTGAAACAAACCCTGCATTGTGTCACACCGGGGTCGCCATGCCCGAAGGGGCTATAGGACAGCCCTTATCTCAGCGCCTGCTGCCCTTCCCCCACCCTCTGTTTGGGCAAGTTCAGTCAGTTTATGTAAAATGCTGAACAAACGCAACTTCAGTTCCCGTCCTTTCCAGGCAGGTCCCCTGCTCAAGGCTGTCGTACACGGGAACTCTGTCGGCTCCTGGGTCCTCCCTCGTGGCCCTTCCTCCGTGGCTCAGGTCCCCAAGTCTCTTAGCTGAACGTCCGCGTCCTGTGGCCAGGGTCCAGCCTGTGTAGTCCCCCCTCCCCATGTCTAGGACAGGCCTGCTTGGGGCCGCAGGGTCTGCCCCCTCTAGCCTCTTGGAGCCCAGTGACCAGAAGGAAGTGGCCAACCCAGGAGGAAGTGGCTGCTGTTTACCCAAAAGGGGAAATTTAGGCAGTGAGCGTGCTCCCACATGGCCAGCCTCTGGGCAAGCCCCAGGGACACAGAGCCAGTGACTCATCCCGGGCCAGTTTCCCTCAAGAGGAATGGGGTGAGAAGCCTGGCCACGCGCAGCCCCTGTGCCTCTCAGACCCCGGGGGACAAGCCTGCCAGGTCACTGTTCTTGACACAGCAGGAGCCCCACAGTTCTGCGGGGAGTCCAGAGAGGAGAGACCTCACTGCCTGCTGTGCTGTGTGTTCTCAGACTTGTCTGTGCCCTCTCTGGGCTGCCGTTTCCCACCTGTACTGCCAGGGGCTGGGTGGCCAGCTGAGCCCAGTGGGCCCGTGGGCCTTCGTCCTGCAGCTCCTGGGACCAGTGGACACTCTTCTTTCCAGCTTCTTGAGTGTTTCAGGCATCACAGCCAACCGATCCCTCCCTTCTGGGATCTCTTCCATCCTGCACTGTGGTCAGTGTAAGCATTACCCCGGGGGGTCACAGGTCTGCGTGTTCCCTGGGCCCTAACCACAGCTCCCCCCCGCCACCCCCCCCCCACCGCCCGGAGAGTTGGCGGGGATGGAGCCCTCCTGTGCCTGAAGCAGAGAGCACGGGATCCTGAGGTCAGGCACAGGGGGATCTCGGGGATCTCAGGAGGACCTTGCTGACCCCAGAGCATGTGCGGAGGAAGCTGGCCTGGGAGGGAGGGGATTGCAGTTCAGGGCCCAGTGCTGGAGAGGGAACCGAGGGAGCAGGGCCGGCTGCAGGGCCCAGGGAGCAGCCCCACGGGGAGGCCTCACCACGGGCTCTGGGGAGACGGCCGTCCACGTGCACGTCCACACAGCCCTGCACCGTGCCTCCTGCCCTGCAGGGTGGTGGGAGGGAAGGAAGAGGGGCTGTGTGACTCTGGCTGTGCCGCCTGCTGCAGGAAGTGTGCTCGGCAGGCGGGGGCGGCTGCGGAGAGGAACCCAAAACCCCTCCCCCACCCCGGCCCCACGGACCCTCTCTCGGCCCAGGCGAGACTCTGGCTTCCAGAAAGCCTAGTTTCCCTACCAAATGGGCAGGCAAATCTCTACACCTTGTGATTGCCTTTCCTAGAGGGAGGTCCCCGAGATGCTGGCCACTTTCCTAGCCCCAGGGGCCAGGGCTCCAGGGCTCCGACTGGCAGAGGCCTGGCTGCCCCAGGGAGCTGATGGAGGGCACAGGGTGGGCAGAGGAGGCCTGCACCAGAGTGAGGGGAGCCCCGCAGCCCAGGAGCAGTTGAGGCCTGGGCCCTGGGGCGGGCAGTGGGACTGCAGGGCCAGAGGCCCCGGGTCCTCTCTGTTCCCTGTCCTGTTTCTCAGCCTGGCTCTGTGCCCAGGACAACAGCCCACCTGCCTTCAGGGCTCCCCCCACCCCAGGCCCCCTGTCTGCAGGCTTACCCCTTCACAGCCCCCCTTCGAGGCCCATAAGGGAGGTGGGGGGAGAGGGCCTCCTGGTTGGGCGAAGGGGTCTCCAAAAGGGGTAAGAGGTCCTGACTTAGGCCGAGCAATGAGGGGAGCAGGGCTGGGGGGTTCCCGAGGGAGGGGTAGGGACAGAAGGACACCCAGCAAGGGCCCACTTGGGGTCTGTTTTGGAGTGCGTTTGGAAGATAAGGTACAGAACTGGCGAGGCAGGGAAAGGCGCCCCCCACGGGGGAAGGGCAGAGGCAAAGCCGCAGTTCTGCTGACAGGTGCGGGGAGAGGGGCGGGCAGAGGAGGCCTGGCACTGTGTCCTGCTCAGTCCGGACCAGGCCAGGCCTTCCCGGTCCTGGGTCTGTTTCACACCTCTGCGGTCACCGAGCCTGGGACAGGGAGGGGAGGAAACGGGGTGTATTTGAAGTGCCTGGCACATCATCGTGGACCTGCCATGGTGGGGCTCCATGCTCCCAGCTGTCAGGGGTGGGGGGCACCCCAGGGCCGCGGGGCAGGCTGTCGGAGGGGGGGATCCCAGGGCCATGGGGCAGGCTGCGGGGGACGCCAGGGCCGTAGCTGCCACCTGGCCTCTGAGAAGCTGTAGAACAGGGTTCTTAACATTCAGTCTTTGACCCCGATCTTCCCAGTTCACTGAGATGGACCTCCACGTGGCTACCCCTCCTCCAGGCCTCACAGTCTGCAGGGTTTCAGCTTTGCCTGGACTCAGACCTCACTGCTGAGACAGATCATCTGCGGAGAAAGAAGTTCACTCGTTCTTGACACTAAGACCGAGAGGTGGCGCATGGGGAGGCCACTGGCGCAAGGGGACGGTCTCCCTTTCTTCCATGGCACGCCTGAAGGCCAGAGCAGGGGTGCTCGGTCCAAGACAGTCTGTGGAGACTCTGTTTCACTTCCTAGCAGATATAGACATATGATTCTGAAATGACAGTCCCATTTTACATTATTTTAAAAATGTGTGTGTGTGTGTGTGTGTGTGTGTGTGTGTGTGTATTTTTGCTTTGAACTTTTGGGAAAATACTATTTTCATGATTTTGTTCTGGAATGATTTGGCTTTGAGAATTCATTTATTTGGTGCTGGTGATCACTTCTTGTCAGTTTTCCTGCACACTTGGGGGCTCTGGGGGGGACCATCTGACCTCCAAACCGTTTCGGGTGGGATGACTCCTTCATGAACCCTGAATAAAGCTGATGCAATTCTGCACTGTACAGACATTTGTATACACACTTACTCATTGTGATTTTAAGGTTTTCTCTTTCTGGATTTTGGAGCCAACACTGGTGCGGGCTGGGGGGTGTTTCCTCGCTCGGGTCCCAGACATTTTTACTGGCCCTTGTTGCATTCCTAGGACCTGGCCATCCTCCTATGGCTGCAAAGTGCATTGGGTGGGAGGGGGGGCCCCAAGGTCATCGCTCGGGCCCCTCCACACCTGCGGCTGTGCAGAAACAAAGCTGCTCAGCGGCATCAAGGGGCCAAACAGTCCTAGTGAAACTGGGGACCTCTCCGACCAGCATCAGCCCCTCCCCTGGTGTTCCTTGCAAGCGGGAGGCCCAAAATGACAGAGCTTGAAAATATTATCCACGCATCTGCCCGCTCCTCCAACTTCTACTGAGCACAGGTGGATACAACCCCGAAAGAAGGCAATTTGGCAACATCTGTCAAAACCACAGAGCAAGCCCCCTTTGAGTGGAGGGGCCCCCCGGGAGACTGTGTTCTGTGGGTGTTCTCACGCTTGTGCACGTCGAGTGTGCATGAGGCCTTCCACTGCCGCGACGTTGGAAATAGAGGAAGGTTAGAAGCGATCAAGCGAGAAGCGTATGGTGCAGCCGCAGCAGGAATGTCCCACGGCCGCAGCCCGCATGGCACCCGGGCATCCCCCTACGGGCAGGGCTCCAGGACGGGGCCCAGATTATTTCATAAAGCGAAACACCATGCGCGCACCGAACACCGCCTGGCATCTGCCCTTCGAATAAGAATGTGCGGATGGAGGCGGCTGTGCACAGGGAAACCCAGGAACGACGTTGGCGGGGAGCGGCCCTGGGTCCCCGTGGGAGGGAGAAGGACCTGGGGGCATGGATTTTAATGCTTGGGTGGAAAGCGCCGGTACAGATACCTTCTTATATTTTTTTATTTTTAAATGCCATGTGGGTGTACCCTGTGCCTGGAGAATCATTTAAAACATGCCTATTGGATGAGCGTTGGGTGTTACACGCGAGTGATGTCACTAAATTCTACCCCCACAGCTGTATCTTGACTAACTAGAATTTAAGTGAAACCTAAGTGAAGAATTTAAGTTAAATGAAATGTGCCTGTTGGGTATGCAACTGTGCTAAGCCCTGTCCCAGGCACAGAACCAACTAGAGAATGGAGCAGACGATGGAGAGAAGAGAATCGCTCGCTCGTGCTCCACGCCCTCGTGTCGGGGAGCAAATCCACGCCCACTAACGGAATAACTAAGGGCATAAAGACGTTATGTCCACAAACAACGAACGCTGGAACTCACTCAGGAGGCCATGCTGGGCTCCCACCACCACCGCACAGGCTCAGGAAAGGAGGTGTGCGGGGCTGGAGCTGGGAGTCCAGTCAGGACAGCTGGACAAACCTCGGGGGTGGCCTCTAGGAGGGCAGGCCAGACTGGGCGCCTTCAGGCAGGATCCCCTTTGGGGTGGACTGCTGCCCGGTATGGGTCCCCCAGGAGGAGCGTGACCTTGGGAGGAGAACCCAGCACCAGGAGGTGTCAATCCGACAGACACCTGGAGCAGGGGCTGACGTTTCTGGTCCACATGTGTCCCTTCCAGCCACCAGCCTGCATGCACAGGCTTCTGATGCCCCAAACCCTACCAGGGCGTTTTCTCCCCTCCATTTATATATACTGAGAGGTGGTGAGGTTTAGGACTGACCTCAGAGCTGCAGAGCCAGCCAGCGGGGACCAGGGTCCCAGGCCAAGCCCCTCCTGGCACCCCAGGGAGTAGAATTAAAGGGGCACGGCCACACCCGTGTCCCCCCAGGTGACCATGGTGGGGACTGAGCAGCAGGGTCTGCACCGCTGTCAGAGACCACACTCCCACAGTCCTTCACAGAGGCCCCGATGGCCCCAGACCTGGGCCTCGCCTGTCATCTGAGCACAGATACAGACTTTGGCCTGTTGGCCCCACTGGGGATCCTCACCCTGGTCAGTAGGGCACAAAACGCCTTTGTCTTCCTATGCAAATGACCAGGTTCTGCCCAGGACAGCAGCTCCTGAAAGGGAGGTGGGGAGAGAGTGCTTTATGGAAAATCATAAAAGCGCATTTCTTTGCATTTGAATGCGTGCCAGACCTCAGTTTAGCAGCAGACCGCCTCTGCGTCAGACCCCAGCTCCCCCAGCTTCCCCTTCGGGGTCTGGCGACGCCCCTGGACTTCTCAGAATTGCGTTTTTAAATGCACATAACAGAACACACGGCGTCCCGGCGGAAATCAGCCACACTGGAACAGGGCTCTCTCAAAATGCTCGTGACGCGAGGTCTGTCTCCGTCAGCTCCACCAGGTCTGGGCTGTTCTCCCAGACCTCCAGCAAAGGCCCTCCCATCCCCCGCAGGTGAGCAGCCTCTCTTCCCCCCTCCCCAGGCACCTGCCTGCTCCTGGCCAGACCCCCACTTGACCCCTGACCCCTGACCCAACCCCTTAGGGTCGGGAGCCACGCCCTCTTCCCCCCCTTTCTGTTGGGGTGTCCATCACACTGGACACCGTGTTCTGTACGTGGACTTATCAACGGTCTATGTTCACGCCACGAGGGAGAGATGCTCTCCGCTGTATGACCCAATTCCCACGGCCCGGGGCACGCGGCGCACGGCAGGCACTCGATGCATCTTGAGAGGAAAGAGAGTCTTCAGCACAGAACTTCACCAAAATACAAGTGGCATCCACGAGGACAGAGGGAATTGAAGCCCCTGCTTTACTAAGAGCTGCTAGGCTGAGGACCTTAGCCAAGGCCTGGCTTCAGCAGAGGCAGAGGCTGGGGGCTGGGGGGCGAGGGGTCAAGAAGTCCGAGGTCTCCCCTGCGATCCAGACCCCCCAACCTCACTGCTCATAGGATGCTCCCCCCAGTGTCTCCAGCCACACAAGGTGTCCGCCCCAGAGTCAGGAAGGAGCAGTGACAATAGGGCTCCTGTGTGTGGGGGTGGCTGGGCGTTGGGGCGGGCAAGGACTCAGGCAAATGAGCGGGGCACCCACAGATATAGAGGCCTGTGGGTGGTCTGCCCGCTGCTTCCACTTAGCTGGCCAGAATGGAGGGCAGCCCGAAGCAGCCGTGCCTGCCGAGGGGGCCCCGGGAGGTGGGGGACAGCCAGGCCCTCGCCAAGCTGCAGGAACTGGCCCTGACATGGTTCACGGAGACACAGGCACCCCTCATCCTGCAGGACGGAGCCCTGCCCCCCTGGTTTCACGGATTCATCACCCGCAAGTAAGGCTGCCCTGTCCTCCGCCGTGAGAGAGCTGGTTGGGCCCCCCCACCCCGGGAGAAGACGGGCCTCTGCTGCCTCCCTGGGCCAGGCAGGGAGCAGACGAGGGGCGCCATGTGGGCAGGGCAGGCGAGTGCTGGGCCACTCTGAGTGCTGGTCTGGCAGAGGGACGGGGGCAGGGGCAGGGTGCGTTGGGACTAGCCCCGGAGAACCAAGGACTGGAGGGCTGTCATCTCCTCTGTCATGCAAGCTGGACACTCGTCAGGGAGGATGAGCGCTGTCTTGAGTGGGGGCCGACCTGGGCCAGCCTGGACGTGCACTGCCCCACTGTGGAGGAGGCAACGTGGGGCCGGCGTTCGGGTTGCGCGGCCCCTGCCAGCGGCCTGAGCACGAGACAGAGGAGTGGCAGGTTCCCTCCGGCGCTCCCGGCTCAGCGCGGGCCGTCAACCAGAGCTGGCCATGCTTGGTGTGTGGCTCTGCTGTCCCCGTCTCGAGAGGCTCGATGTTCAAGTGAGGGGCTCGGCACTTTCATTTAGTGCTGGGCCTGCAAACTCTGGTGTGGGCCCTGCATGGAGCCAGCCACTTGGTAAGCACTGAGTGAGCAGGTGGTCCGTGGACTGCCAAACCAGAAGAGAGCTGGAACTTTCCACCACCTCTCCAGAATACTTGGCGCCATTCAGAAATGGCTGTGGCTGCCTCGGGCTGGAAGGGACATGTAGGGAGATGAGAGTCTAGTAACTGCCCTTGCGATCAAGCTCTGGGCATAACAGCCCCTTCTCCTGGTGGAAACGTGCTGTGCACAGCCTGCACAACCGTACAGTGGTCCTGAGGCAGGGAGGCCCCCAGACCTAAAAATCTCTGGTGATAGAGATTCATTCTTACTACAGAGACATTCAGGTGGAGAGTGGGCAGCCAGGGTCAGTGGCTGTTGTACCTGCTGGTGAGGCTGCAGGGGAGGGTGTCGCACGGGGGCCTCAGCACTCCGGCCCAGCCCAACCCTGAGTCTTGAGTTCGCCGGACGCTCAAGCACGCACAGACCACAGTAGCAGCTGCCGGTCTGAGAGTCCCCTGTGGAGAGCTGGAGATCTGTACCCAAGGGAGCAGCCAGCAGGGACTCTGGGGCAGGCTGAGTCCGACCGCTCCTGCTGCCACACGGGCACGGGCCCCTGTTAATTGCCCATCCTCTGCCCAGGCAGACGGAGCAGCTGCTTGGGGACAAAGCTCTCGGCTCCTTCCTCATCCGCCTCAGCGACCGGGCCACTGGCTACATCTTGTCCTACAGGTAGGAGAGGGAGCTGTCGGCGAGGCCCCTGAGCCCGCCTTGCCCCCACAGCCTGCACTGCCTGGCTTTCCCTGGGCCCTGGCTCCCCCACCCCCCACTGCCTCCGTCACTGAGCAGCACTGGCCATGGGATGGGAGGCAGCAGCCTTCGGAGGAAGTGGGCAGGGGGCATTAGGGGAGCCACAAGGGGCTGGGGGCAGCGGGTTCCTGGGGAGGAGGGCTTGCACAGGAGGGCAGGGCCGTTTGGTCAGGGTCCTGCTGTGGATGGAGGACCTAAAGACAGAGCCTGGATGGGTGAGGCCCGTGGGAACCCTTGAAAGGATGAGGCTACGGTACAGAACAGAGGGCAGGATGACCAGCACGAAGCTGAGGGAGGTGGTGACATCAGGCCTGGGTTGGAGAGGAGTTTGGGTATGGGAAGGCAGAGCTGGAGGAAGGAAGAATCCTCCTCCCCATGAGGAAGCGAGGCCAGGGTTCCCGTGCACCTCAAAGGCCTCAGATCAGATTCAAAGTTACCTCCTGCTCAGACCGCCCCAATCCTGACCTTGCGCGCGGGCATCCCTGTGCCTCTGTCTCTCCATCTGTAGGGTAGGAACATTGTAGTAGGGACGTCGCAGGATAGCTGAATGGGTAGGACGGGTTTACACATTGAAACACGCTTGGCACAGGGGCTGAACGTCGTAATGACCAAACAAACGTCAGTCACTACCCAAATGGTAATTGTTATTCTGTGTGCCAGGTACCAAGCTAAGCACTTTGAAATACGTGAGCTCGGCCGCTTCCTAATGTCTTTCCAGCATCAGGGCTCCTTTTCCTGAACATGGCTCGGGTGGGATGCCAACTTATACAATTGCTCAGAGGTCCATGATGGGTAGATGGACCCGTGGGCACCCTGGGGTCCAGAAACAGTCCAGCGCTTGTGGTCACCTGCTTCCCAGCAGTTCTGTGGGGAAAGGCAGGTCTTTCCAGCAAGGAGCTCGGGAGCAGTCAGATATCCAGATGGAAAACAATGACCCCCACCTCACGCCATACACAGAAGTCAACTAATTCTAGCAGGATCACAGCCCTGAGTGAGAAAAACAAAGCAGGACTTTTTTTTTTTTTAAACTAACAGGTTTTTTTTAAGATTTTTTAAAAATTTATTTGACAGACAGAGATCACAAGTAGGCAGAGAGGCAGGCAGAGAGAGAGAGGAGGGAAGCAGGCTCCCCGCTGAGCAGAGAGCCCGATGCGGGGCTGGATCCCAGGACCCTGGATCATGACGTGAACCAAAGGCAGAGGCTTTAACCCACTGAGCCACCCAGGCGCCCCAGAGCAAGACATTTCTAAAAGAAGACAGGAAAATTTTTCAAGACTTCGAGAAAGACAAAGATTCCTTAAGACCACACCCACTAACCATGAAAGAGAAGGTGGACACGGGGGTTTCTTTAAAATTAAAACTTTCTGCTCTTCAGAAGATGCCAAGTGAGTAAAAGGACAAACCAAAGTCTTGGGAGACGTTACGTATCGTAGTGCGCGTGTCTATCGAGGGCAGAACACGCAAGGAGCGGCGGAGAAGCACTGGGACAGAGACGACGCGGTACACAAGGGGGAAAGGCTGGCATGGCGCTTCGCAGACGGGGCTGTCCGGAGGGCAACGGGCCTGGCGACCGGCAGCGGTCCTCTCCCGGAAATACAAACGCAGCCCAAGCGAGCGCACGGCGGGAGGAGGAGCCGCGAGGGTCTGGCCAGGGTGCGCTCCGCCGCTCGGCTCCCGCAGGGCTCGCAGGGGCTTCGGAGAACGTCCGCCCCAAGCCGCCGAGCGGCACAGCAGCGCCCAGCCAGCCCGCGCTGCAGTCTGCTCGGGAGCCGCCCCTGCGCGTCCAGAGGCGCGCACGAGGATGCCCGCGGCGGCTGCGCTCCTAGCCCCGCCGAGTCTGCAAACGAGCGGACGCGCGTGTTTGCCCGCAGGGGACCTCGCGGCATCGGGGCGGGGCGCTCACTGGGCGCGGACCCGGTCGGTCTGAGACGGAGGGTTGGGGCAAGGAGCCGGGCGGGAGAGCGAGGTCCCGGGACTTCAGGAGGGGCGGGCGGGGCGCTCCGGTGCGGGAACCGTCGCTGTGCGCACTGCGGACGCGGGCGCCTCGCTGCAGCCGCGGTCGGTCCCGCCGGGAGGACGTGCCCCGGGGAGGGCGGCCGTGGACCCGCACCTGGGGGCGGGGCCGGCAGTCCAGGGGTTTGGGGCACGCCCAGGAAGCGCAGGTCGAAGATTTCGGTGTTTTGTTCATCATGGACTTTGATTCGCTAAAACATCGCCTTGCCGGGCACTGTGGCGCCCCGCTGGGTGCCGCCCTCGCCCCACCGGGCGGGCCTGGGGGCTTCCCTGCCACCTGGGGCCCGTGGTTTGGAAGCCACTCCCGGGCTCCCCACCCCGCAGGGCCACCCGCGAGGCTGGGCTCCGGGACTCCAGGCCCCGCTACGGAGGGACACACGGAGGGCTGCGCGGCCGGCGGGTGCTGGCGCGCCGAGGTTGGACCGCCCTTGGCCACACCTGCTTGCCTTACAGGGGCAGCGACCGCTGTCGGCACTTCGTCATCAACCAGCTGCGGGACCGGCGCTACCTGGTCTCGGGGGACACGCACAGCCACGGCACCCTGGCCGACCTCGTACGCCATTACCAGGAGGTGCAGCTGGAGCCCTTTGGGGAGACCCTGTCTGCTGCCTGCCCGCGGGTAGGCACCCCTACCCGGGGTGTGCACGGGTGGGGTGGGGTGCCCCCAGGCACTCAGTGCAGAGTCGTGGTCGCGTTTGAGGAGGGCGGGCTGAGGCAGCACCTTCCCTGAGGTCAGGGCCCTGGGGAGCCTGTGTCGGTCCCTCTGTGGCAGGCGGTGGGAGGTCGGCAGGGAGTGTGTGACCACGCTCCCTCTGTGCTCCCACTGCCCAGCCGGAGGACAATGATCTGTATGATGCTATCACCCTGGGGCTCCACCACACCCATGGGGGCCCAGACAACCCAGCCGTCACAGCTTCGCCGGCAGTGGTCCTGGACGAGGCTGCCAGCCCCTGCCCCTGCCCCAAGCCACAGGTCTCCTTCCTCCAAACCAAGAGCCGGGATGCGAGTTCCTGCAGCTTCTCGGAGCAGGGGGCCGTGGCGGTAAGCAGCATAGGGAGCCCAGCGGGTCCGGCATGCACCAGGCCCACAGGTCTGGCCTAGAGCTTTGGGGCTTGAGCTCCAGGCTCAGAGGTGTGGGCTCACCCACCCCTGGGCCGTCTCTGGCCTGCTGGGGCTGCCTCAGCTTACCATTCCTACAGTTCTTCTGAGGCTTGAATGAGAAAATGGGCAGGAAATGGCCTGAAATTCCTCTAAACTATAGGGGAACGAGGTGGGAGGTGGTGTCTATGAGAGGACATTCTCCCCCACAGCGTCCCTGGGAGGGGCTCAGAGAGCTTTTCCTCCTGTGCAGCAGACCACAGCATGCCCCAGGCCTCTCCTAACGTTTGGAAACAAGATGAGGCCTTTCCCAGGGTCCACGGGGGGGCCTCACCAGGGGTCCTTCTACCTCCCCTCTGCACCCTCTTCTCCGACCTCTCTGGCATCTTCCCAGAACACGCCAATCTTACTCCCACCCCACGGCCTTTGCACTTGCTGTACCTTTGCGGCAATGCTCTCCCTCCCAGATAGCTGCTTGCCCTCCTTTCTCTGCTTGCATGTCATCTCTCCAGAAGGGCCAAGACTGCAGGAAAGGCCCCTTCCCACCTGTCATTCTGTCTATCCCATTCATGGGACCAATTGCGACCGGATTGTCTTGTGACAGGCTATCCTATGTGTCAGGCACATGAAACCATGTAACAGACTGGTCTGCTGTCTTTCTCCCAACGTAGAAGGCAGACTTCAGAGCTGGCCTTGCTGCCCATCAAGTCCTTGGCACCTGGAACTGTGTCTGGCACAGAGCTGGTGCCCAGCGGGCATTTAGGGAATAAACACACAAATGACAGCCTTGGGGGTGACAGTCTATTCTGAAGGAGGGGGGAAGCAGTGAGTGGAGGGGCTCAGGGGCTCTGAGGGGCCAGTGGAGCACTTGGGAGGGAGGACAGGGCAGGATGAGCTGGGGTGGAGCCTGCTGGCTTCCAATGCCAAGGGAAGACTAGACTCGGAGTGTGGGGGCTGACAGGGACAGGACAGTGAGGTAAACTGAGCCAGGACAGGGGCTGCGGCTGGCCGAGAGCTCACGTTCACCTGAGGGCATCTTAGCCATGGGAGAGCGTTCCAGGGGTTCTGTTTCTGTCTCCCCAGGTCCCCGGGAGGGTGCCTCCCCTCCCTGAGAGGAGTGCCTCCCTTCTGGATGAGTCCTTTGGAAGCCCCAACAACAGTATCTACTCAGACCTGAGGAAGATGAACCAGGCACAGCTAGGCCTGGGCCCAGAGGCATCCGGCAGACCCAGGCCAGCTTCAGGGGGCAGCCAGCCCAGCTCCCCAGGCAAGGAGTCCCTGAAGAGACTCTCAGCTGGAGGTCAGAACAGGCCTGATGGCCTGGGGCCTGCCTTCTCTGGGGTGAGCCCTGAGCAGGGTCCCACAGGGCCTCCCACAGCCCGGGGCCACCTGCCCCCCGCTTCTGAGGCCCTGGGATCCTCCGCCACCCCCTGGAGCCAGGCATCTCCAAAGCTGAGCCACAGGGCTCAGCCGGGCTCCCAGGGCACTTCTGCAGACACTTACCAGCTCCTGCAGACAGAAGGTCCCCTGTCAGAGCCCGGGGACAAGCCAGACCAAGAAGGCAGTGCCTATGCGCAGGTCCCAGTGCGCTGGGGGGGCTCACCCAGGCCCCCGTGTCCCGGGACCAGTCCTCCAACTAGCAGGCCACCAGGATCCACAGACCATGGCTACAAGAGGCTCTCAGGGGCCCCAGAGCTCCCTGAGCCCGGGAACACCTATGAACAAATCCCAGCAGCCAGGAGCAAGGACACTGGACAGACACACAAGGTGGGCTCCACAGGGGGATGGGGTGGCTGCCAGCCCCTGCTGGTAAGAGGGATCCGTGGCCTTCATGCACGAGCAGGTCGGGTCACTGCTACTGCTCCGAGGGGCCCAGGAGTTTCTAGAAGTAACATATGCTCGGAGGTGGTGGGAGGGGCTGTTGCTCAGCTTGAATGCAAGGTGTGGTCTTCTAAAGGCCCTTCAGAGGGCTTTCTCTGCAGCCCAAGTTTCCCGGCGCCCTCCAAGCCACTTGTGCCCTCACTGTGGCTCAGCCGCCCCCAGCCACGTGGCTCCGGGCAAGGCAACTTCCCAGGCGGACCTTCCTAAGACTGTGTCCCAAACACTGCGATTACTGCTCGCTTTCCTTCAGCAACCCGACCCAGGACCTCCCTCTCTTCCTGTGTACAACTGTCTGCCCCAGGGTAAGGCTAGACATACTCGCCTGCTCAGGACACAGCCCAGAGACAGTCGGGCAGAGCTGTCAAATGGAGGGTTTCTGATCTGAGGGCCGGCGGGGGAAGTAGAGGGCAGGGGCTCCCACGGGGCCCGGGCACCCTCGGGCCCCAGCACATTCTACCTGCACCCCGAGCCAGTGGGCAGGGAGGGTCCACTCCTCACGGGGACGGCTCTGGACCTCGTCTCACGCAGATCCTCGAGGTCTGGGCAGTGAAACCCAAGGTCCTTGCTGAAAGGCCTTCCCACACACCCCTGGGCGGCATGTTCACCCAGTGCGGGGCGGGGCACCACGGAGGTCCTGACTCTGCTGGGACCACAGGCCCTGCCTGCAGGCAGGCGCTCAAGGAACCCTGAAGCCACATCCCATGGCAGTCTCCCCCCGCCCACCGCCCCGTCACTGCAAAGCCCACACCCCCTCCTCCCCTAGCCTTCTCAGAAGACATAGGTCCTTCACCCAGAACGGGGCGGGGGGAGGGGGCTGGGGCTGGCTGTGCAATTTCTGGCAATCCTCCCAGCAGGCCTTTCTTGGGCTTGGGCCCCAGCGACTGACCGGTGCCACGCCTCTCTCCGCCCAGGGCCTCCAGGCCCCAGTGTCTCCTCCATCTTTGCAGCCCGACAAGCTCTGGAGGCTCTTCTTCACCGACAAGAAGCATAAGTCCTGAGCACCGAGCTTCCTTCTAGCAGCTCACCAGTGGGCTTCCCCGGCCCCTCACTCTCCCCCGAGAGGAGTGGGGGGTGGTTAGGGCCAGAGAGGCAGGGGCGCTGACCACAGGCAGGGGCAGCAGCCCCATCTCCAAGATGAACTGAGGCCTGGGCTCCCTGACCACTTACTGAGCCCAGGCCGGCCCTGGGCTGGGGTGGCCGTTCTGAGACCCAAGCCAGCTCCCGTGCTGGGGGTCCTCCCAGCAGCAGGGTTCAGAGGCCACTGAGGCAAGAGTTCTGGCCCGAAGGCGCTGGGCTCCCAGCAGCGGCTCCCTTGGCCCTTCTCTGCCCCCTGCCTTATTGTAGCCCTGCCACACGGTCCCCCCAGGCCCTCACGAACCCCTCTGTGCTGCAGAGGGAGAAACCAAGGCCTGCAGAGGGGGAGTAAGCTGCCCGAGGTTCTGGTTAGCCCCTCAGCACACACCCCAAGCCTGCCTGCCCAGGGTCCACCTGAGACACGGTCCTGTGCATTTCTGGAGCCAGTCGGGTGTGGACTGCCCATCTGTTCGACAAGGTCACCCTCCCCTGCCCTCTGGCTCTCACCAGTCCTGGCCCCAAGGGGTGGCTCTCATACCAGGAGGCCCACACAACAGCTCTGGATACAGGAACTCCTGGCTCCCCATCCCCCAGGGTCCTTCCTGCTTTGTCCCACTTCCCCTTGTCCCCCACATCCCCACCTGTGTAAGGGTGAGTAGCTTGTCTTCTGCTCCCCGCCCACAGCCCACAGAGGTAGAAAACAAACTGACCGTCCCCAGAAGGAGCACTGTGGCCCCCACCCTGCCTACCCATGTCCCTCAGTGGCCTTGGCCCGCCTCACACCTGTGGGGGAATCTCCCCTGAGCCGCCTCTCCCCATGAAGAGCGAGCCCGCGGGAGCCCCTGCCTCCTGGGAGCCTGCGGCAAGCAGCCCCGTGTCTGACTCGTGGTTAGCGTTCCGTAAATTCTCACCACGAGCTCTACAGTCACAGGGGAAATGGACACGGTTCTCACCTAATGTCTCCTGTGGTGCTCACCTGGGGGTTCGGGGCAACGTGTTTCCCTCTCAAAAATACAAGCACTGAAATAAACGTGAGTGCCCAAAGCAGGAAGGCAATGCTGGGCCGAGGTGAACCACTCACTGTGGGATTTTAAGGAGCAGGAGAAAGGGACCACTGAGCCCGTCTTAACGTTGGCAGAGAGAACACAGGGACATCAAAGTGCTTTTACTACCAGGAATTCACAAATGTGTGGACAGCACGCACCAGTGAGAATTCCACATCTTGGGGGTGTGGCGCAAAACATGGGATGCCCAGGCCTCAGGGACAGGGACAGGGACAGAGCCCTTGGCCCACTGTCCACACAGTTTCACATTGGGGGGGCCGGGGGGGCAGCCCAGCCGTGAGTTTTGGAGAAAGACTGCATAGCTCATGAAACCTTGTCCTCTTTCCCTTTTCACTTTGCCCTGGGTGACCGGGACACCCGCCCAGGACTTGGGACACATCTGGAGCCCTTGCCCTGTGAGGTCTTGCTGTCCCCTCCTAGTGGGGCCACTTCTGACGTGGAGAGGATGGGGGTCTGGAGGGCTTGGGGGCTCAGATGGATGGCCTGTGGCAGGGCCCTGCTCCCCACACCCCCCTTCCCTGGTTAAGGATTTTTTTGCTGAAAGGGCTGAGGAAATGTTGGTGGGTCTAACCCCAGAGGCCACCGCCTCCATTCCGGGCAGCTCGGAGGTCACACTCGTGTAGACAGGACAGCCAGAGGGTCAGCTTCAGGGCCCCTGCGCCCTCACCAGTGTTCTCAGATCCGGATGTGAAAGGTGCTAGAAAGAGAGGAAGGGCCCCTCAGCAGAAACCCCACTGGCCCCCGGCCCAGGGCACGGTCCCATAGGAGGATGTGAAGGACACAGCCAACCTCCAGGGAGGGCGGGTGGGCGGGGGCCCAGCTGTTGCCGGAAACCCTAGCCCCAGCCTCCGGGCCTCACCTGAGGAAGTCGGGAGCCTTAGCAATCATGTCCTCAAAGTCCGCAAAGCCCAGCTTGCCGTCGCCGTCCAGGTCGGCCTCCTCGATGACCTTGTCACACACAAGCACCACCTCGTCCTCATCCAGCTCTGACTTGGTGAGCCGCGCCAGCGTGCGCTCCAGGTCCTCCTTACAGATGAAGTTGTCCGTGTTGAAGTCTGAGGGCGGGGGCGGGGGCGCTCAGGCCGGGGCTCCCCACGATGTCCCGCCCCCAGTGCCCAGGCCCAGGCCAAACAGCACATCCAAGGAGTCGACACTCATGACCCCATTAAGACCCCGTGATGGTCCTAGGTCCAAACCTGGCCCGAGACCCTTCCAAGTCTGAGTCTGAGGCTTGGGACACTGGGCCCTTCCAGCTCCACCCGCGGTGGGCCATGTACTCCCGCTGGAGCAGAGGAAATTGAGGCCCGGGAGGCCAAGCCACCGAGCCAAGGGCAAAGGGCTGCATGGAGGGGAGTCAGGACAGGTGTGTTTGCCGCTAAGTGCTCACCCACCACGGCCACGTTCTCCCAACGGCACCATGTGGCCTCCTGCAGGCCCCCTGCCAGGCGTGGTGGTGGTCAGGAGACTTGGGAGCCCTCAGAGGGAGGCCCAGGCTGGTCGCCGTGCAGAGCGGGGCGCATGGCTCCAGTCTACTTGGCAGACGGCACTACCGCTGCTCCAAGTATAGCCACCCGGCTCACAGCAGTGACCCCGACACCCTGCACGCCGCATCCAGCTTGGCTCCCAGATCTCCACCCCTCCCACTCATCTGTCCAGCAAATTCCCATTTGTCCTTAGGTTTCAGATCAAACACCACCTCTCGGGGGCTTTCTACGTTGCAGGGACCCTGCCACTGGCCGCACCCTGACACGAACGGCAGGGATAGGAGTGCGGCGGCCCGTGGGAATGGCAGGGGCTCTGCCTCCTGCCACCACCCATGCAGTGGATTGGTGGGTCTAGGTCATGCACATGTGAAGAAACAGGGTCTTGCAGAGGGCACATGACCCAAAGGGACACCCCTGGTCAGGGCTGGACCCTGAGCCCAGCCCCTAAACAGGTACCCACACGGCCCATCTCAGGACTGGTGGGCAGGCACGGGTGGGCTTTTTCTCGGCTCCCGCAGGGGCGTCGAGAAAGCTCTGCAGAGATGAGCCGCCTGCCTGGCCGGCTGGATTCCTGTGCCCCTTTGATGGGAAGGAGCTGAGGCCCAGGAAGGGGGTGACCGTTGACGCGACTCTCCCCAACACCAAAGCCCGTGTCCCAGTTGGCCTTCCCACTCTGTCCCACAGCTGGGGCAACAGAGTCTGGATCCCCCTGAATTTGTCCCCACCTGCCCCCAGGACCCTCACTGGCAGACAGCAGCATGCCCCACGCACGGTGCCAGGGGTCTAAGGCTAGAGCGTGGTGGGTGCAGCGGGGCATGGTGGGGGGAGGGTGGGCCCGCGGCTGCCGTGCTTTGACACACACACAGGGGGTGCTGCGTGCGCCAAGACCAGGCCTCTGAGAGCAGCACGGTGGCTACAAAAGGAAAATGTCCGAGAGGCCCGGAGCCACAGGCTGGTCAAAGGTGCTGGGACACACAAGGTCTCTTGTAGCTCAGGCCCAGCCCCACCCTGGAACTGGGTGTCCCCATGGGGGTACAGGCCAGCTGTGCTAAGTTCTCTCCTCTGGGGCCTGGTGTGACCGTGGCCCCGGTTGCCCCGCTGCCTGGCCCAGGTGCCCCAGAGCCCGCAGCGGCCCCAGAGCCCCAGGTGCCCCGGAGCCCGCAGCGGCCCCAGAGCCCCAGGTGCCCCGGAGCCCGCAGCGGCCCCAGAGCCCCAGGTGCCTGGTCCAAGCTCCCTGGAGGCTCCTTGCAGCCTGACCTGCAGCCTCCCCGGGCTCGCTCAGCCTGGGTCTCTGCTCCTGGAGGCCTGGCACCTCCTTGCTGCTCCGTCTGTTGGGCATGCCTGCCTCCACTGTGGTGTCCATTGACAGCCCCCAGGACCCCGCATCCCCAAACACCACCCCCGCCCCCAGGACCCCCCGGCACCCCCAGGCCCCCACCGTAGATCTTAAAGGCGTAGTTAGCCTTGAGCTCCCGTGGAGCCGACTCGCACAGCACAGAGAACATGTCCACAAAGTCGTTGAAGGTGAGGTTCCCCTCGCCGTCCTCAGAAAAAGCCTCCACGATCCTTTCCTTGAAGGGGTTCTCCTGCAGGAAACAGCCACAGCAGTCGTGTGGACGCAGGGTACTGGACAGACTCCAGAGACCGCTAGGCCTGTGTGGCCTCGGACGAGCGTACCCCCACGGCCGCCCGCACAGCTCGGCCAGTGTGTGAGGGGATGAATAAAGCGTGATAGGGGTTGGGGGGGTTTGTGCGCGGCCAGGCGCCTGGGTTCCTCGGGCCACGTTTCTCAGACGAGCATGGAGCTGGTGAGGCCAAGCTGTGCTCACCAGACACCCTCTCGTCTCAGACAGCCCTGGGCTACGCCAGGTCAGGCCAAGGTCATGGGAGGCAGAAGTGGGGCCCCCAAGGCTCGGAGAAAGGGGCGGACAAACGGCAAGACTCAGGGGGCTAGTCAGAGCCCAGGCCACTGTCAGCCTGCTCGGGGGCCTCCCACTCCGGGAGCCACACCCCAACTCCGTCCTCTGGTCCCAGGTCTCCGGGGCTCCCTCTTCCTGGAGTCCCCAGCCCAAGTGGGCTTGGCCGCCCCCACTCTGCGCCGGGCCAAGGAGACCCAGAAACCACCTGCGTGGCGGCCGGAGTGCCCCCAAGCCCCTGCAGTGACCTCCGGGCCGGCGTTCAGGCCATTCTCTAGGCTGGCAGGCGCATGCCAGGGCCAAGCCTGCGCCTCACTGTCCCTCGGGATAGAGGTCACAACTGGAACACAGACCAGAAAGGACGCCACATGGTGCCCTGACCCTGAGTCACACATCCAGGGCCTGGCGAGGGGCTCCTGGCCACATCCCACCGCGGGACGCAGCTGTGCCCCGAACACCA